CACACGGTATACATAGGTATAAATAATTTTAGTTTGCAATGACTTTCGAATTCAAAAACCATTTGAATCAGAAAATCAGTTCAAACTTTTTTCACTAAGAGCGCTTACACATTAGGGCGTTAGAAGCGCGATGCGCGGCAGCGGCGTTTTTATAATTTGAAGGCATGCATCCGCTGTCAAATAGTATGAAATTTTCGGCAGCGCGTCTGTCGCGCGTTTGTCGCGCGTTTGTCGCGCTGTTCAATCGCCTAAATGTGAAAGCGCTCTAATACTTTTGGCTCCTTTGGGAACCATACCCTAGACCTTTAGGCCTCAGCCTCGAATTTAGCGGGCAGCGGCGCGGGAGCGGGGCGGGCAACGCACACCCGTTCTCGAAACAAGCGGGCAGCTCGCGCGGCGCTTTAGCGGCGAAGTGTTGTGTTCGGGGTTGTGTTGTCGAGATATTTGTTTTTATTCGCAAACGAAATGTCTGAACAACGGCGACAATTTTATTTCGATTCAAATTTATTCCTAACGCTCGATTTATTGTGGGCAAAAGAAGGAGTGCGCTGCCCGCTCATTGCCCGCTCTCGCGCCGCTGCCCGCTCGTTGCCCGCTCCCGCGCCGCTGTTTTCGAGAACCGGTCTATTTGATTTTACGCATAAGATCCTGCCGCTCCCGCGCCGCCGCCGCTCCCGCCCCGCTGCCCGCTTAACTCGAGGCTGAGGCCTTAGAGTAGTACAGCTACTAAATAGTGCGGGCGGCAGATTTTTTTTAAGTGAAAAAAGGACAGCCGCCCAATTTAGGCCGAAAGTCGTTGTAGATTGACAAGATGGCGCTTACGTGTAGACAAGATGGTGAAAAGTGAGCTTGATTCTAATAACTTATTGACTTTAAATTATGTCATGTGGTGTACCATGTAAGCGTTTTTTACTTGTTTCACCTTCAGGCGGGTTAGGGGACATGCAAAAGACACGAATGGTAGCATTATATCGTTTTAACAACTTCCATTAATTTCGTATAATGCTCTGATTGAGTGATATCGTATCGTCTCTACTCCCTAGCCCTGCTGGTGTCACTGTTACGGATCATAATTATTGCATGAGTCACCATATAAGTATGACGATTAGGATAAAATGTAGGTATTTTGACATGAATCTGCTCTTGCCCCGTGACCAGAAAAGCTTTTGATTATTTATTTAGTTAAAAGCTTAATTACTTGTGTTGTCTCATTCAGTAGGAATGTAGATAATTTATTTTGTGCAATATTATATGGAATTTGGGGCTCTGCTGTAGGTATCGATCAGTCTTGTTGAGCAATAAAGAAGTATTTGATGCGACTACGGTTTTACCGCTCGACCACGCCCCGACGTGATTTGACACCTTCTGAGTTTGACACACTTTGTACATATGTCATAGTCAAAGGTCGATATGCAGTCTCTTCGCGGAATGACTAGTTTATCCTAGGTTTGACCAAGGCCTTCAGGCAAACCCCGAAGTGAATTCTAATTTCGGCCTTTGACTAAGTCAAACCTAGAAGTGCCTAAACTGTTTAGTCAAACGTCGAAACTAAAATAATCTGTATCGGGCTTTGCCTAGTCAATCCTAGAAACGACTGGCAGACTCTGTCAGAAGTAGACAGTAAATAGAAAACCGGCCAAGTGCGAGTCGGATTCGCTCACGAAGGGTTCCGTGCGACTCTGATCTTGTATGGGAGCCCCCCTTCTAATATTTCTTTTATTTTAATTTTATGATTTATTTTTAAAGTAGATATGCAACTAATTTTGTGAATATTTCAAGGGTTCACCTGTTTACGTTTTAATATCGAGCAGAAAACTGCAAAAAGTCACGTTTGCTGTATAGGAACCCCCCTAAAATATTTAAGTATTTTATTGAATTATTTATTTTTAAAGTGAATAAAAAACTAAATCTTTTGAAAATGATTCATGAGATACGAGGCTGGTGACAGACAACATTTGGCGAAGTCATAGTTAGGGTCCCGTTTTAACTCTTTATCCTAAGGTAATAGAACCCTAAAAATTAGTAATTTCAAGATCGGTCTAGAAACACTGACAAACAACCGCAGTAAATAATTTTAGTTACTCGTACCTTCACCTAAAGAACCGACCGTAACGCCTATGCAATAAATTCGAGATCAGAATGAAGTATAGTTTAAAGTCTTAATTGAGGTATGACTAGTCAAACCCCGATTTCAATAAATTGAGTTTCGACGTTTGCCTGACCAAATTAGTTACTCCTAGGTTTGACTAACATTCTTTAGTCAAAGGCCGAAATGTTTGGGCTTTGACTAAGACTTCTAGTCAGACCTGAGGATTGACTAGTCAAACCTAGGAGTGCCGGAGCTTCGAGGTTTGACTATAACACATATATCAAAAGCTTCCGCTGATAGCAGATGTTTGCCGGCGCTGGTCGGGCGGTAACACCTCTTGAAACTAAGGGTTAAATATCGCTCATTTGCTTAAATATTTTGAGTAGATATCACGTTCTTGTCGCAATGCGGTAAACTTAGGGTTAAAGTATGAATTGCCATTTTATAATATTTATTTATTTTTAAGTTATTGTTTTATGTAATTTTACTATATCAAATGCCAGTATACTTAAACAGAGGTGAAATGTTATAATTTTTTTCTTGGATCATAATGAATCATAGGTAGATACGTAAAATACTTCAGTATCTTTCAAATCAGACTAATAATCGGATTGCATATATTACATGTAATTATTGATGAACTATGATATCATTCAGTAAATAAGAACACAGTATCTGGGTACGAAAATACTTTATGACTCATTATTTAATCATGATAGTACCTACCATGTAAGTAATTCCCAATCTGAGCTGATAACTTTGTTGTCCAAGTTTGATCTTCTTTTGTATATCGCTATAGCTTAAAGCATAATAGCACACAGTTGGCGTTATTAAAGTACCCACACTATTTAACACTCGTCGTCTCCCGGTGGGCCAATCGTTACGGTCAAATGCATAATGCCAGTTGTTAGATGACTGCTGACAGAATCTTTTTTGAACTATTTCGTCGTTCGTCTTAAAATGTATGCTATGAGTCAATGTTAAAATGGCAAATCGATACTTTAACCCTTGTATTCTTAGACAGTAACATAATTTGTTTTTGCAATACCTAAATGGTTATATGACGCGGTTATTCAACATTATTTTTAACTGCCATGTATCAATTGGAATATAAATTTAATTAGACCAGTAGTAACAGAGAAGCAATGTAAGTGCCATGGTGTTAACTACCAGAGCAGTAGGCTAGGCGGTGTGAACTATGAACAATGATAAATAATGTACCAGACAACTTGTCATTTTACTGGTTTTTGTTATTTTATTTGTGAAAAGAAAATACGAATTCGTTGAAAGAGAGATGTTTGTAATAAAAAGGGCAGTGGTAATGTAGTATTAATTATTATTGAAATGTATTGATTTGTTGTGATGGTAGTTATAGTCTAATAACGTGTTCTTATTTACCTTAATTTTTATGTTTGCAATAATTGTAAATGACACGTGTAACTTACAATAATATTATTATTAATGAAAATAAATGTAAATAAAATCATGCTATTTATTTTCAGATTTCTGTGTTTTATTTTTACCTTTAAAGTCGTTTCGTCATTATTGAAGTGTACGTGTGCATTCATTGATAATTTAGCGTGTACCGATAACACTCAAACTTTAGCGGGATAATGGTGGGGCGCGTCCTGAGGAAGGTCCATTGAGGGTTATCGTTTGCTAGTGGCGAAGACAGTGGCGCCTATTGGTGAGCGCTGAAGCGGTAGGAGGACTATCAATCGGATATGGGGCCAGGCCTCCCCTGAAAAATAATCCTAAATACCTACGCCAATGACCGGACCTACATGCAACTTTATGCATCCCTGATAAAAAAAAAGAGACTGTGTAGAAGATATTATTAATATTATCTGTGATGGAATGGGCATATAATGGGTAGGTAGGTAGAATTCTTTTGTTATGCTCTGAAAGTGTGAAAAGCGATAATTCAATTAGCATTGGCTGTTACCATCTGAAGGTGAAATTGCACAATCCTTGTGTAACTACTAACTGATGTAGAAATATTGTGTTGACAGACAACACAATAGGATGAGTCTGAAATATTGTATTCAAAAGATGCTAATGTTATTTAAGTTTTGTCATCAGTCATCCCAAGAAAATAGTCAAAAGCTAACAATAAAACACTAAAATATTTAATAAACGAAATCTTTAATACCATTCAAAATAACTTTTCAATTTACATAACTTATATTTAACATAATACACACAATGTGAGTTCCATTCTACCAATTTTCGCTATCGCAACCATGCGTCACAATTGCAATGTTTCTCTCAGTGCATACCATTACACGCAATGTCGTTGGGCACTTCGGCCGGTTTCAGAGCAAAGCTTTATATCCGTATCTACCCGCGCCGTCCGTAGTACGGACTTCCTGAAAGATACGCGACCAACGATAGACGATACGTAAAGTGTTCCAGCTCCGGACTCATCACTAATGCTTTACGGACTCATATTCTAATGCTTTACGGACCATAATGCACTGCTCTGAAACTTGCCTTAACTGCTGCGAGCAAGTGCATGCTTTCCATTTCGGTAGAGTATCATTATTACAGGACTCCGCTAAGCCTGCACGCGGTAGGTATCGAAAAGACAATGCCGGAAATTGGCGTCTTTTTTTTTTCGTAACTCAGTTCAGACTGAGTTTAGAGGTATACATGTCATAGTAAGTTTGGTTTATTACACTATTTTGTAATCAAAAAACAAAGTTTGGTCGATGGCCGCGCGAAAAAAAAAAGACGCCACTTTCCATACAAAATCTGGCATTGCCATGCACACGCGTGCGCCCGCACTAGATTAATTTAGCGGAGGCCCAAGGTTGGTCGGTGGGTGTTTGTTGACTTATTCGCACTACCGTTTGTTAGCAGGCGACATGCAATGCGTTTATTTTTCTAAGGACCATTTTCATGGTCCTTATTCTAACGCCCAATTTAGACCTACGCATTAAAAAAAAGTAATAACGAAACAATCAAAACTTTAAACACTTGAGTCAACTAAAATTCTGCGGTTTTATAACGCCGTATCTCTTCCACCCCTTTCACTTGTAGCGATGACTTAAAACTAAGTATAAGATTAAGTTAGCTCGTTATTGTCTTTCATTAACTTGCTTCTTAACAAAGCGTACAGTACTACACCGCGCCTTACTCTGGTAACGCGGTAAACGATTTAAACGTACATCACTTTAAAGATACATAAACAATCTGAATTCGCACACTCCACTTTAGTTTACATGTAATATCGTATCGTAACGCAAATAGTAAATACTAGAAAATTATAAATACCAAAAGAAATTTTCTTTTGCAAATTACAATAGTTACTCTTAGAAATTATCATCATCATCATCATTTCAGCCACATGACGTCCACTGCTGAACATAGGCCTCCCCCAATGACTTCCACATCGCACGGTTGGTAGAAATTTCGGTTGGTAAAGGTTTCTTAGAAATACTAAGATTATAATATTTAGTGTATCCACACAGGGCCGATGTTAGTATTATTACTTTAAATATAGGTACAATTCTAAACGCCAGTATTTTATAGAATAAATAAACATACTATTTAACTACGTAAACTTATATTTATATTTTGTGACTTCTGAGACCTTTATACATAGTCTTTATGAGGGGAAAGTTAAGTTATGAAAGGTTGGATATACCTTCTTAATATGAGGAATTTTCAACACATTAATCTGTGCAGAGGTCTGAAAAGCGTCTCACACAAAAAGTGGCGTGGTTCTTTTAATTATATGAATACATTTTTAGTTATCCAATTGAACAAGATAAATACGTTCCACGTATACACACACCAAATAATAAAAAATATAGGCATATCCGCCCGGAAAAAATTGGATGTGTGGTAACCCTACCTAGCATGGTATGGTATAGGTTGCTCATGAATAAAATCATACCCCCCCTATTCCACCTATTTTATCTGGCCATCCCACCTGAGTGGGAAGAGTGCATTTTTATTTCCACTCTTCCCAACCAGGTGGATGGGCTTGTTATAGTTGTTATGGTGGCCATACACGTAAGGGTTTGCATGATGGTTACGACCGTACATGCTTAACCGACAGGTATAACCGAGTTATCTATAGCACATACACGTTAGGGTTTGCATGTACAATCTAATGACTGACTGACTGACATAGTGATCTATCAACGCAAGACCCAAGCCCAAACCTAGCAGTAACATTAAGATTTCTTGCAACAGGGAGAACACATGAGTGTCTTAAATATTCACCACCATTCACTGCCACAGACTATAGGAGACTGAGAGAAAACTGTGCATGCAAGCATGAGGGGGCGCACACACGTTCGGTTATGCATGCGCGCAAACATAACCGAGCGGCATAAAATATATTTTTTGATATTCGTTAGGTTGCATGTACACGCACCAATAACTGTACAGTTTTATAACATACACGCTAGGGTTTGCATGTCGGTTAAGCATGTACGGTCAAAGCCATCATGCAAACCCTAACGTGTATGGCCACCATTATACACAGCAATAGTTGTAATACCTAATAGTATTATTGCTTATCCTTATCACAATTAAATTAGGTAACAAAATTGTAACAAAACCCGTTGATACATTAATTTGTGATACCTACTAAATATCTAACAAATAAATTATACTCTATAATAATAAATTAATACTTTGTACCATACTAAACATGAAAACTCAGTCAACAGTAAAAACAATATAAAAATACAGCTTTTATGATTTCGATCGAACCTTCAGCCGAATTTACATTGAAAATTCAATTGAAATATTTTTTATTCAGCGACACAAAACAACAACAAAAACATTGCGAAATTAGTGGTGTAAAATTAGTTTCGCGACACTAGTTTCATCAATAATTTAACATGTGTAAAACATGCGTGATGTGCATGCAACCATTGCATAACATTGAAACAAGATTTTTTGATAAAATAAAATTAGTGTCATCGTATAAACGCGACGCAAACAAAATAAGAATCCATGACCACTGTGTTGTGATACAAGTTCACGACGCTATTATTTTTAATGAAACTAGTTTCACAGGTACAGAAAAAAGTGTCATGCATGGAACTTGTTTCGTAATGTAAATGCGGCTTTAGGTATGAAAGTAAGTGACTTCAAATAACGTAATATTAATGTCAATTTATTTGACTCCAAAACTGGGTTTTATTAACTTTAACCATGGTAAAGGTTTTAAACCGTAAATTTATCTCGTTATATTCAAGTGTGTGGAACTTTTCTTCGAAAATATAATAAATGTAGTACCTAAATATGCACCAAATAATATTTCAGCAGTTTTTGCTGGGGGCGCATTCTATAAATCTACACCAGACTCAATTTAGAAAATAAGATAACCCAACCGAAAAAGGACCCGGAACCCTTCGCACCCTAAATTATTCATCTATAGGACCACAATAAACTGCTATGAAGTGCAGTGTTTCAATATTACACATAATGCCACAATGATTCCTTAGACACATACCTACAGATATTCAGTTTAAAATCTATTTGAGAATTAATTTTTAGCAGGTAAATGGTCCGGACGGACGTCAACAACGTCATCGTCATCGTCAGTCATAGCTTCGAACTGTTACAAAACTTCCAAAATCAATAAAAACTACAAAAATGCAATCATATTATTATAAAAATATACCATCGTCAATTTCGAAATATTCATAATAAGAGATCCCTTCAACACACGAATTAACCGGTACTTAATTAATCAAGATCTTTAAAAAAAGACTAGAGTATTATTTTTCTGACGTAACATTTAAAAGAGGTACTTTGTCCTTATCGGATGTGTTTTGGATGACATTATTAACAGGGTTTTTGAAGTACATCACGACCGCTACACTTACGAGACCGATAGATACAATTGTATATGGCGTGATGGGTATACTAAAGAGAATATAACAGACAACGGCCGTTATAACTAATTCTAAAGCACTGGCATAAGTTTTTAATATTGAATTAAGGTTCTTTAAAAAGAAACTTGTGACTATACCCACAACAGCACTATTAACTGTAATAAGTATTACGAATAAATTCCAAATTGATTGCATATCGTCAAATAGAGTAACCACCTCGCCCTTTATCATTAAAATTATGAAATTACAAATTACTGAGTCCAAGTACATAAAAACATTTTGTAAGAATATATCGACACTGGATCCTTGTGTTTTTAGTAGGTACTCGTTATACGTACCTGCTAAACATGAGCAGAAATTCTGGAAGTTTATAGACAAAAAGTAAATATTGAATATCTGCGACCATAAGTCTGAATCGCCATTCGACTGGACTGTTGCTGCGTCGAAATTCTTGATTATACATCCGGTTGTGAGGATTCCAAGTGATATCCATTGCATAAACGCTAACTTCTTGTTGAATAAAAACTGTAAAAAATAAAAATGATATTTTAAAAGCAGGCAATTTTATATAATTATAGTCTCAAGTAGTTTCAGTTCATCGCCAAAGTACGCGACAGCATAGTGTCTCCAGACAAAGTAATATTTTGTGATTGATTTAATTTCGTGATTGCTTCCGTTCGTCTTGGCTACGTGAAGTAATCACAAATTGAATCTGTTACAATATGGTACAGTTAGCGTCAAATAGTTCGTGACACCCAAAGTGGCCAAAAAGATGACAACAACTGAAACAAAGACATGTTGTGAATTTTTTGGCTACTTTGGGTATCACGAACTATTTGACGCTGACTGTACTACAGAAGTGCAGGCGTATCATGGCGAACGATAAGAGGTAAGTTGTAATTCGTGACATAATATTTCGCCCTGCTGCATTGTCTCATGTCGTTTCTTCGTTCAAACAAATTTTGCACATCCTGTAACTATGAGTTACAGGAAGTGCAAAATAATTGACGTGGATTTATCAATTAAGATAATATTATTCAAAGAAGATTAATGCATATTATTATAGTAATTAATGAGCCTTACCTGGAACAGGAGAGCTGTCAGAACCACTCGAAATTGTAGCAGTATGTAGTATGAAGTTGGGTCATAGTGAGATAAATTGATGAATGCCAAATTGTTGTAAAAGCAATATAGCAGTGATGGGATGAAATACAAAAGTAATAATTTGTAATTCAAAGCAACTGCTTTAAAAATGTGTGGTTTATTTCTGTAACAAAAAACATACCGGTTATTGAATAACATAGTGACCATGACTTTTGAATACAATGTTGGATATTAGTGATGGGAAACATTTGATTCTAAAATAGGAACTGGTTTTTTTTAAAACTTTTTTTACATTTTATTTTAAGCAAAATTGAGTTGGATATTGATTGCAATTGTATCATAGCTCATGAGTGAGTACGATCAACCATCATTTTTGAATCGGTAGCCCGACATTTTGGGGTGGGCTCTAGATCATACTGCTACATTTTGTAGACAAGTAAAAGTAGATTAATTAATAAGACTTACTCTCTTCTATAAGTGTACAATGTTGCTGATATAATAAGCTTAAGCAGTTCCGATAGGAAAACAACCAGCGTGGTGTTGTAGTCATATCCGCCATTTTCTGTCTTCGACGCAGTTACAAATACACCTGGAATAATTTATATTGTTAATTCACATAATAAGGTAAATTGATATAATAGGGATGTTTCCTGGGTCAAAAAGCAAGAGTTTTAATTAGTCAGTTAACTTATCAAAAAATACTCTACACGTATTTTTCACTTTTTCAAACTAATGAAAATTTAAAGAGATAAAGCGCGCCAAAGTTCATAAGAAGAGGCCCGTGACGTCAATGCGTGCATAAAAGTGCCGCACGTTTTGACGTCGCGCGGAACTTCAACGCACCATAACTATGTAATTATTTGTTAGATCGACAAATAAAAATATATGTGTACAATATTATTTGATATTAAACATGACAGACTAAAAAAATTTTTTTAGGAAACTAGCCTATTGGTAGGTGACATTAAACTATCAATAAACTATTTTTAAAGGATAGATCCAGGCACAAGTTGTTGGTTCATTATTTAGAAAAAGTTTATGTATTTGTGGTACATTTGCAAAAGTTCATTAGGCAAGGTTGATAAGATAAGACTGCATTATGTGGCGATTAAAGGATTCGATCCCGGGATCCCGAGATCCCGGACTTGTAACTTCCCGAAAATTTCGGGATTGTACTTGACTAATCCCAAGATTAACGGGATTGCATACCATACAATAAAAATTCGTATATTTGGCAGCTGTCTTGTCTTGTCAGGTAGTGTCGGTTGTTTGTGTAAAAAATTGGGTTTTTAATGTAAGTAGAATAGAATGTTAAGTATTTATATGTCTCAAAACAGGTTACATTTACAAGTTGTCACAGTTACAACAGTGGTATATAAGACAAAAAGGTCTATGACTCAGTGATTGCAGGAGACCCACAAACCATGATATTCTGCTGTTTTTTTAATTATTATAATAGTTAATTAGTTGATGCCTGCTCATTGCAACTACCAAAACTCAAGTGTTGATTATTATAGAAAAAGCCAATTTTATTACAACATTCAAAAGAAAAGACTTAGTGCTTTGTTGATTATTTCAAAGATTTATAGGTAAATGTGCTAATTTTAAATTCACATAGAAGAATGATGAATGTTTTTGTTGATAACAACAATGAGTACATAGTAGCATGTCATTAAGTTCAATAATTATTACTAATCTCTGAAGACATAGGTACATAATATTGTTGATTTTTAGAAACTTTAGTAAGTTGTTTTTAAGATATTACAAACGTTTCATTATGTCGTCAATAAAAAGCTAATTTTTTTGAAAAATAATTCTTTTTATTTCATGTTCATAATCCTGGGGTTATTCCGGGATCCTGGGTTTGCCTATATTCAATCCCGTAATTGGAAAAAAGGTCCGGGATCGAATACTCTAGTGGCGATACTAATTACAAGTGATAAAGATAAAAAATAATGATTAGGCATTATTAACTTTCTGTTTAAATTATGTTATCATTGTGTTGTTAGTTATGTACTTACAATGTTCTAATATAATCTGATCACTTTCTTTTGGTCTGATCTGAGCTAAGGGACTAAATGTACATAAGTGCAGTAGAAATAGTGATTAAGCATGAACATAGTTTGACAAGGACTAAGATAACTTTATTAAGCATTAACATAATAGTTTCGTAACTGAACTTCGACTAGTTACCATGTAATAAATGTATCCATTTATTTTTAAACATTCGTGGAAAATAATCTAACAGGAAAGAAAACTTATGTTGTTGTTACTTACCCTGAAATACAAACAATATGATGTATAAGCTAAACGTAATAAATGCTTCTTTATTAGGAAACAATTCTTTTTTCATTGTTTTGATTTTTTTAACTGTAAAAAGTAAAAAAATGTAGCTTAAATTTTTAAACAAATTGTTTGTACAACAATCACAATCACAGATAGACGATGAAAAATGACAGATTTGACAGAAGTCAGAAAGAAATTAACTGATAAGACCACAGATATTTTTTTTGGTTTCGTTCTTTCCTCTTGCAGGAAAAGGCAAAGGCATTCGCCATACAGCCAAGACCACAGATATTGTGGCAAAGACAAACTAAAGATACATAAAATTTTAAAAGTAGGTCGTGTCGTGTCGTAAGTATAAAGCTAAAACCACAAAAAGTCTTGTCTATGGTCACTGGACATAGCCTGTGATCACAGATATGGATAGATGCAGCATGTGTCAAAAATTGTATGAAGCCATGAAGCTACAGATAAAAATGGAGGGCAAAGTTGGGAACAAAACTTGAGTCAAATACCTACTTATATCTATCTCGCTCTCTGTGGCCCTACCTCTCTTTTTAGTGTGAACTGTAGTATTGCTATCTTCTTATTTAAATCTCCTTGTAAATTCTTCGAAATAGCCAATTCACTAACCAAATAAGAAGTTAAATAAATAAATAATTAATATTTGAAACTTAGATTACCTAGTTAAATAAAAAATCACAAAATTGTCGGCCATTTAGGCTTAATGTGTTGGCGAATCAGGGAATTACAATCCCAATTTCTGAGGTATCGGTAATGTGGCAACATCGGCCGAATCCGGCCCATCATGGCGGTTGTTTACTATGCAGTTGATTTCGTTTGAGATTTTTCAAGGGACCTTATCATTGTTTTGTCTGAAGAAATGGTGCAAAATTGTATAGTGCGTGGTTGCGGTAGTTCGTGTTGTCCTGGAAGTGATATAAAATTCCACGCGTAAGTGTTTATTTCGTGATTTCTGACAGTGGATCATTGTTAACATATTTCTTTGTATTTTCACAGTAATTACTTCCTAAAACGTTTTACCAGTATTTAAACTTATTATTAAATGTTACATATGTCAAGAAAAAGAAGATTTTACATTGAGTTTCATTGACTTTGAGCAAATTTAATGTATTAAAAACAATGCTACTTTATACTTCTTCTACTGCTACTTTATTCTAATTAATTATTTGTTACTTGTGCTGTTAATTACAATTCTCAATCCGTAAATAATTTCTTCTTTCTACCGTGTTCGTAGTTTCGTACTACTGTCCTCGTAAAATCATCGTAACCGATTGTTGTAATCGGATTACATGAACATCACTCGACCATGTATGTCCATTTGGACATATCGGAATGGCACGCTTTGACGATCAACTTGCTGTATCTACTCTAATCCATATCTGTGCTATAGATGAACCAGCGATCCGGTATTGACGGTGGCGCCCCACTGTCAATGTCATCGACAGGACAGTCCAGTATTTTGGAACTTATACTACCTACTTGACAATTAGTTTCCTCTTGGTTGGTGGGTTGTTTATAAAAAGATTGCGTTATGCCGGCTCTCCAGTGTGTTTTTTGTTTGGCCCTAAACAATCAACAAAAACATCTCAACATTTAACATTTTTTGTAGGCTTGTAACATTAGTTGAATGCTGACATATTTTTGTTGATTGTGTGGCGAAACACCGGCTGAAAATCCTATAACGTGCTCTGTGTGAAAACCCGGACGGGACCATACTGAGCCCCGATTACGGTAATTTTTAACGTCAACAATCCAGACACGCTTCTCGATTCTGCGATACGATTGGTCGTTCAACAGCGTACGTCAGCTGTTTTAACCAATCGTATCGCAGAATCAGAAACGCGTCTGGATTGTAGACGTTATAAAAGTTACCGTAATCGGGGCTCTGATCCCTTTGCAAATTGACAAGTGTGCTAGACCCTTATGTTCCTAATTGAACCATAGACAAACGTTGACAAATGTCACAGATAAGGATAGATGCAGCATGTGTCAAAATTTGTATGAAGCCGAGCGTGCCACTTTTTAAACGTCATTAGTGTCATTTTAGCGAATTTTAGTGATTGCCGCAACATAAAAGTAATCGCTAGTAAGTAAATGACCTACTTTCATAAAATAAAGATTATTTTACTCAAGCTTTTTATTTTTAATAAATGTAAAAATGCGTAGTTTTGCCAATACGTTTTTTTTCATAAAGCTAAGTCAGGTACCTAGTTTTGAAGATATTTCTAAACGACAAAATCTCGGGCGTCGTATACATAGTAGTAATAGTGAATACTGCGACTGCGATACTGACCTAACTTCTTGATTTGTATATTTCGACGTTATACAGTGCACTCTGTCTTCCGCGATCACTGATCTAACTTGTTTTATAATTCTTCTTCTGCTACTTTATTCTAATTAATTACATATTTGTTGAAGCCTTGGAGGAGGCCTTTGTCCAGCAGTGGACGTCATTTGGCTGAAACGAACGAACGAACGAACGAACATATTTGTTACTCGTTGCTGTTAATTACAATTCTCAATCCGTAAATAATTTCTTCTCTCTACCGTGTTCGTACTACTGTCCTCGTAAAATCATCGTATCCGATTGTTGTAATCGGATTACATGAACATCACTCGACCATGTATGTCCATTTGGACATATCGGAATGGCACGCTTTGACTAGCAACTTGCTGTATCTACTCTAATCCATATCTGTGCCTGTGATGAATAAAAAAAGTTATGTCAGCTATCACTGTCACTGTCAGGTCAGATGCTTTAGACATACTCTCTAATCTGTGGTCAGATGTTTCTTGTTTTTCGTCGTCAATTCATTTATCGTGTTTATTACGAATTCGAAATAATTAAAATTGCTGTTTTCATCATCTTTTCTTGTGACCTGTTAAATCTTAATTATCACACACGGGCTTAATTTGCCCTAAAAGTCATAGTTTATCAGGTTTTGCAATCAAACTTGAACTTGCCTTTTGTAGGTGGGTATTATTGACTGGGGACAAGTTTATCATTGTGTTTGATAGAATATTTATTTCCTAATTAATTGTTTCAGTTTCAGTTACAAGAATATTATATATTAGATCTTAATAATGGCTGGTGAAGAGGATGACAGTACATGGTAAGGAAATTATTGAACAATAGTAGCTTCCTGGTTATTTAAAATTTGTAGATTTCAAACACTATTTAATTGTCTCGAATTGCAGGTTGATCGAATTGGAGTCTGCTTTGCTGGATGGCTGCTCAGCTCAACAAATCAATCTTTTAACCAAAGGCAAAAAGATACCAGAGAGTTTACGTCCTGATGTATGGCTTCTTTGTCTAAATTGTCAAGATACTGGTAACCAATTACTGTTGTTTGATGAAATATTTGACCTAACAAACCAAAATGAGCTTAGAGATGATGTGAAAAAGTTTGTAAAACGACTGGGAAATGATGAAGATGACAAGTTGTCAGTGATATCGGATATCGAATCAATAATCACATTCTACTGTAAATCTAAATCTATTTCCTACAGCTCAAATAATGGCTGGATTGAGATTTTATTACCTCTTCTGAGTTTGAAGCTACCACAATCCGACACATACAACTTATTTGAAAGGATACTAAAATTGTACATTCCAAAAGGATGCTTTAAAAATGGTGTGCCATTCCATATTCTACGTTTGATACTGCAATATCATGACCCAGAGTTGTGCTCCTTTTTAGATACTAAACGTATAACTCCAGAGTTATATTGCCTGCCTTGGTTAAGGTCTCTCTTTGCTGGCACTTGTAATTTAGAAGTTGTGCTCTTTATGTGGGATTTGTACTTTCAAAGGTCAGACCCATTTTTCATCTTTTTCCTTTGTTTAATTATGATAATCAACGCTCGGGAACAGTTGCTGCAAATGAAAAATGAAGATAAATCTGATATCATTGCCTCTCTAAAAAATATGCCTGCTGACTTAGAAGCAAATGATGTTTCAGATTTTTGTTCTTTGGCTCATTACTATTCATTAAAAACCCCATTATCTTTTCGGGATGATGTGTTGGAAGTCTTGTTTTCTGAGACAGGTGTAGAAATAAATTCTAAGTTATATTCTCAAGCTTTGTGTCTTCCAGTTGCTGTCCATGAGTTAATTGAGAGTGCCACTGTAGATGCTTCAGATTTAGATAGTGTTAAATTTTTTTTGGTGGACTGTCGACCTGCAGATCAGTACAATTCTGGTCATTTGTCAACTGCCTTTCACTTGGATTGTAATTTGATGTTACAAGAGCCAAATGCTTTCAATACGGCAGTCCAAGGTTTATTGAATGCTCAAAGGCAGGCTTTGGCTGCAGGATCGCTAGCAGCTGGTGAGCACCTATGTTTTGTGGGTTCTGGTAGGTCTGAGGAAGATAGCTATGCACACATGGTTGTAGCTTCTTTCTTGAAACGAAATACCAAACATGTGTCCATGCTTGATGGCGGTTTTGTAGCAATACATGACTACTTTGGGCCTCATATGACTGACTGTTTGGAGGAGCACAACCCTTCCACGTGTTTGGTTTGTGCCCCCAACAATAATAACGAAGGTCTCGAAGTTCGCCACACAAAGGTCAGAGATAATATTCCAGCTATTCAATTGTTTGGCAAATTGTCTACTGCTATGAAAGCAAAGAGTCAAGAAGTCAAAGGTAAATTGATTGAATACATTGTCAATCCAAATTCTACCGTTAATAACGGCGAATGGCACGTGTCTGCTAACGACAAAAAGGAACAGAGGTACAGAAATGTTCCTCCAGTGTTCAGTATAAACGACGAAGATGATGATTCACGACCCGATAGTAGAAAAGACTTGGACAGTGAGTCTCTAGAAGAGATTGTGGAGGTTCATTCTTATCTAAAAGAACACAATGTTGTTGATAGCTTTGCTTGTCAAGAAGTATTAGTAAACGGTTACATGCTCGACTCTCATTTGATCGTCACGGAGACGCATTTGGTAGTGTTGCGTGACATTCCTAACAAAAAGGGAACTGCAAAAGTAATGTCAAGAAGGCCATTATCGACTATTGTTAAAATTACAGCTAAAAAGAGGCATCCAGAGTTAATAACTTTCAAATATGGCATTCCAGATGGAGACAACCTTTTGATCAAGGATATGGATCGTTTTCTTATTCCCAACGCGTCTATTGCTACAAAAGTAGTTTCTAATCAAATAGTGCAACAGTTAGATAACAAGTTGCAATAGTATTTAGTCAGTAAAAACAGTTTTCAGTCATTACAATAATTTAAAACCTCTTGAAATGACAGTCGTTTCGCTCGAAAATTAGGCTCCAAAAGTAGACGACCTTAGAATGAAAAGGAAATTGTATGGAGAGAGCTATGTCTATTAATTAAATGAGTTTTTGTTAACACCTTAGATTAATATAGTCTAAGGTTAACACACACTCGATTAGCGAATTTGTGGGTGAATTTTAGTATTTTTTCGAAGTAATGGTGTGTAAGACGAGCCGAATTTTTTTTATTGATTCGTTTTGAGCAACGAATGCTATTTACTTCTTCATCAATTAAAATCATCGTGCTTTACCTATTAACTATTACCTGTTACCTAAGTGTCTCTGGATGCCTTTTAGCTGATATTTTAGGTACATCATTAATTACTACGCACGCTTTTTAACAAAATCACTTGAATTGATTCTATATTATTTTATAGTTCTACCTTTGATCAGATTACCTTTAGTCAGTGCTCGTTAATTAGTACCAATTGGAATGTAGTTGTTGGTCGTCCTATATTGAGTTGAGATAACTTAGATAAGAGTTTAGTGTTTGCTTGTTTAAACTGGTTGATAAACCCAAATGGAACCAGTTTCACTGCGACAGCGTGAATGGGCTAAGTTAAGCGTAGGGCCAATTTTTAATTTATACGCTAATTTAATTAAATAAAAATAACTGACGGAAAATTTATCGTTCACCAAAAACCGCTCAGGCGTGTCAAGACTAGGCGAGTTAGTTTAATTTTTTATGAAATAAACTGATTAAGTAGGTAGGTATTGACCTACTTGCGCTGTAGGTATACAGGTAACCCAATTAAAAAACTAAGATAAATACGTTTGTCAATTCTAAAGTGCGTAACGCATTTTTATGTTTGTTTGCAAGTTCAATTAAGTGACAATTGCCAATAAAATAAATGAAATAGTATCTAATGCGTGCCTTTTTCGGAATTTGTTTCATGAATTATAAACATTGGTATAAAAAGCCCTACCTTATTTGTTTTTTGTAATAAAGTTTACCTCTTGTGAAATATTTCAACATTCCAGTGCAAAGTATTAGGGATATTATTAATCGCACATCAAATAACTTATCGTACATCAATTTATTTTCATCAATTTAAATAACTTTTACATCAAATAAATTATTTCATTACAAATAAACAAATTGTTTAACAAAACTAGCACTTGAGGTAATTATTTTGCTGTGCAATCAGTATTTTTGCTTAGAATTCGGATTTTTTAGTATGCAAAAGGATGATTATTTGATTTGCAGTTAAATACTACTCAAAGTATTATACATAGCATGGTGTAAATCTCGGTCAAATTAATTGGAATGAGAAACTTGGTCATTGCACCTATTAGGTATTTATATTTTTTTCTTTAATTTTTTGTTTAAACAAATTTAGTAATGTAGATGTTGTAACCATATTATTTTGTTTAATCACACTTACTTCGATGTTGACTGATAAGGAAAAAATGTGCAATAGAAGTTAAGTATCAGAGAAAATTATAAATACTTTATTTTATTGCTTATTTTTGTGTATCTGCCTACACTGTACTTATTAGTGACCGTCTTTGTGATTTAAAATAATGTAAGTAGTCATTAAATTTCTGTGTTATTTATTATTAAGTGTTTTTGTATGAAATCCGTAATATCGAAATCCATGATTTGATACATTTCAATGTGAGTTTTCGCGATTGAAAAATCCGCCAGATGGCAATACGTAGACGCGAGGTCCAAATGCTGCATGATTGGTTATATTTGACATGACATTGACAGATATGTCAAAATCCACCAGCATTTGGACCTCGCGTCTACGTAACGTATTGCCATCTGGTGTATTTTTCAATCGCGAAAACCCTCATTGTAAAAATTGTATTGTGATATATTATTGTTCCATACTGTTATGTTGATTACCTATATTTCACATTAGATGCTTAGGCTCCTGTCTTAAGAGGCTAAAGTGCAGTTTTAAGACTATGACACAGGTGACACTTTATGCTCATGCCGGCTGTATGTCAGAGGCTTTACGTTGTAAAGAGAAAGATAAATATATTTTATGTTTAATTAACTATTTACCATAACAATTCACTTGAGCTTCGCGAGGAATAGGCTTCTGAAAATACATTCATCATCATACACATAACTCACATATTTTGTGCAATGTTACCTAACGATTTTGTTCTAAATGCCTACGCAAAAACACGACAAACCACTTATTTAAGATGATGTTTATTAGTGAATAAAGTAGCCATAGAGTGCACATAGATAATGATGATGCTTGTTGCATTTATGAAATACAGGGTGTGCAAGAAAACAGCTGAATCTGTTGTTTAAATTATACCTACATCTCTTTAACCTAAATATCTCTATTTGATTTTGAACCTTCATTACTAAAGAATAAAGTTGTATGTTCAGAATCTACTTGAGAAATTCGTAATTTGTAAAACTTCTCTTGCTAGTGTCCGTAACTCCTGTTTTCTTGAACACATTGTATGATAGGAACTAGAAAATTATAACATATTTAAATTTTTTATAAAATTTTGGTCAGCTAATTCTTCCTACACTTCTACCGTGGATTGAGTTCTTGAGGCAGTTTTCGGTGCATGAAAATGTCTTGGATTTTCGTGCTGCATTTTTCAGTGACCCTAGGCTAAATTAACATTTTGGCAGAGTCGATTTAATAATACGAATTTACTCATATTAGCAGCATCGTATGATCGTATCCTTATGGTAGGTACAAAGCAGGAATTCCATAACAATGTCTATCAGACTACCTTATCTATACTCTCGTACCACGCAACTACCTCAGGAACTGAGCAAACCGGTTAATGTCCTCTATATTTTATCAGATTGTAATTAAGTACATTATTGTTGTTTCAAATAAAAATATTTATATATAATTACCTGTAATTTTACTTTTTTGGGACCTCCACTCGCATAGCTCTCGCGGGAAATAGCGTTTAGATAATATTGGGTCAGGTAACTTTATGGGTTCAAATTATAGGTACTAAAATCAAACACCAAGCATATAACTGAGAAATCTTTCATTTGTTGTTGTAGCTATTAACAAATTGTAGATATTTTTATGAAATTACAGTAATCTTATAAAGAAGTAAGATGATTGATGATTATAGATAATAATTTATCGATATTATATAGAATTTATAAATAGTAAGTTGGTATAGCTTAAGTTTATAACTAGAAAAGGTACTTAGACTGATATGTATAGATTACACGATAAACTTAAGAAGCTTCTCGTGGTAGGTAGGTATTCCTACCTGGGTAAGTCAGTAGAAATCTAGTAGGGGCGAGAGCAAAGAGTTGTCCTTTTCAATCCAAGAATAGGTACTTTCTTATGGCTAGAATTTATGATATTGTTCAGCTCTGAAGTTATTTCTATTTATTACTTTCTATTATGTTTTTCAATGCATTATTAGTTAGGTACTTAAATACTTGTGTAAGAACTTGTAGGAATGTTTTTACGTATTTAAAATTAGCAAATATCCCAGTGTTTTGATCTTTATAAATATTTTTGTTCATTACTTTCATGGGCATTTTTATAACACTTCACCTCTCGCCGTTGAACACCTTTATTTCATTGTCCAATGCACTACACCAGGGGTCGGCAACCAGCCACACGTGGATATTTTTGATAAAAAGATGCGGATTTTGATGAATTAAAGAAGCAATTTAATTCATCAAAACCCCTAAAAATTGCCATAAAAACTGGAGCGTAAGCCACGGCGCTTGAAGGCAATTTTCAGTGGCTCTTCAAAAACTGGAAAACGAAATTGTTAACAATGGAAGAGCCATTTCAAAAGGTTGCCAACCCCTGCCCTTCGTGCGCACGTTTACGTTTATTTACACCTTATTTTTATAGCGTAATATTAACTATATTTTTTCAGTCCACTTCAGGACTTGTGCCTCTTGCCCTGACAATAACAATCCTACTATTTACAAATACCTATCAAATCACATTTTTGGGCCATTAGTAGGTATGGTATGTATCTTTACTATCTTCTAATCTAAGCTATTAATATTTTCATTTTCAAGATAGGTAGGCATTTCTTCCAAAAGCACCATTCAGAAACTTTTGACATGTCTTGTGCAACTTGAATAAAAAACTTACAGAGAGAGAGTAGGTAGAATTTTCTGTTCCGTGGTAAGTACAAATTTATAAAACTCAAAGACAAGATTTTGCCCTAAGAATTTCGTGCGAATTTTCGATGTTTTCAGCGGTTAATTTCCAATATTTTCATCATCTCTTTTTGAAAATTGCTTAATTGATCACACCCAGTTTCAGCTGGAAAAATGACACTTCACTTTTCCTGGATGGAAGTAATTTCCTTGTGCAAGTAATCTGTCCGAGCTAAGTAAGTAATATCATTAATAAAAAGGGGTTATGCCTAGTAAACCAAGAGTAAAAGTTACCGTAAAGGGCTCTTAATATTATATCTCTTTTTGTTTTGGGCGGTACTTTTATGGCGCGATGACAGCGAGAAAAGCATTTGGCAGTTATGAAAAGAAGGCAACGTAAAACGGTAACTGGAGAGCAATATAAAATGTAATTTTTCATTTTTTCATTAGGATTCACTGAGCCCTTTTGGTCGAATTTCCTATGAGTAACTTATGTTTTTAAAATCCTACATCCTATTATTCCTGGAGCACTTAACAATGAATTATGTTAGCTAAAGTATTTAAATGTACCTATCCGAACGTCTCGCAAGAATTTAAATACTTTTGTATGCGTGTCGGTTAAAAAAAATCGGTAATTTAGTAAATATAGTTAATTTAGTAGCGATTTGAATTCTTATATATTTCTTACTTAATTCGTATTCATTTTGGTACTAATTTATATTAAAAGCATTGCCTAAAGATAGATAAATTAAATATTTACAATACTTACAGAGCATGGTAGAGTCTACATATGTAATTCATCTAACTATCTATACCTACTTACAGCTAGGTACTTATTTAATAATTTGCTATTAATAGGTTTATGATGGACAAAAACTCACTAAAAAGTTTGAAACCTAACAATGGTTGAATTGATCCCAAGTAGTCTGTCGTCAATAGAAGAGCTGATTGTGTGTTTTTTAATAATTAAAAAAATCTGTCTGAGTAGTAACTATAGGTAATTATGCAAATAATAAAGCAAGTATAAGGGTTTTTGTGGGCACTTGATGTAGGATATGTGGACCTTAAATTAAGTGCTTAAATCTAAAAATATATTGAATAAATAAATCACTATTTTGTGGATCTCCCAAGGAGCAATTTGTTATTATTTTGGCGATTTCAAAAAGATCTAGGCACAATAATGGCGATATTAAACAAGCTTCTATTTTATTTAACTAATTTTATAAAGGGGCGAAGATTTATTACATATTTTTTTATAAATAAATACTTTCAATGTTTAACATAGACAATAATTTTTAGATTTCTTCTTAAACTTAATTAACAATTTAGGTTTTAAAATTACATATTCTTAATGTAAATCATTGTTGTTAGAGTTGCTTACATTAATTCAACATTTATTATCTTGCATTAAAATAACATTTTTTCCTGTGTTAATTACAAACGACTATAAAGTATGATATGTATTTGTTATGAAACAAAACTATAAAATAAAACCGACTACAAAAAACCTACACTAAAACGTAGAAATATAATTACTAATTACCTACTTATTTATTAGGACGAATTAATTGATTATGAAACATGTAAAGTTTGCCTGCACCGACTCCAAAAGTATCAATCATGGTATACCTACATAAATATTAATAATTAATTCGTCCTAATAAATAAGTAGGTAATTAGTAATTATTTTTTTACGTTTTAGTGTAGGTTTTTTGGAGTCGGTTTTTTTTTTAAATTTTACTTATTTCTTGCTTTTTAGTTAACTAATTATTACCTTGATGTTACCACTGAAGGTAGGCAGTACACTGAGACCAAAAAAAATTGGTTCATAATCGGCGGAGATATTGCGTATAAAAAGTTCATCCCCAATTTTCCACCCTTGGGGGTTGTTTTTTTTATTATTAAATTTAAATGGATGGATAGGTAATATCTCAAATATGAACAAAATCCAAAACCTGACTTGATTTTCGCTGTCCACTTCGCGTGAAATACCCCAAATACTAAACCTTTCAATTATGTCTTAGGTGTATACCGAGTAGGGTGAAATTGCTTAACAATTAACAAATTCCAGACAAGTAAACATTCGTAGGTATAGCAAATAATACAAATCATTACTTGTAACAAAGATAAAATTTTCAAAAGTACAATGTTTTCCTTTGTTTTTGTCTACCTATTTTTATCTTATTTTATTTGGAGGTTTAGAAACAACTCAATCCGATTACTTTTTCCGTAGAAGCCTTATGTAAGTACAAAGAATCTAAAATTAATTAGAAGCCTGTATAAATTCGCTTCCGCGTAAGTATAGCAGTGTTTTTCAACCATTTTCATTACACGACAAGTATGAAAAAATATTCTGCGACCCCCCGACCGCTCGCTTTTTTTCATGCATTTTATAATGTTACAACGATGTTGTAGGTAAATCTTTCTTTATATGTTCACTGTTTTTTTACAGAGATAGTTTTTTACGACCTCTCGCGGCCTATAGAGGCTTGGACAGGACCCACAGGTTGATAAACACTGCCTTATGGGATTGAATTTATTATTATCACAGCCCAAACAGTTAGAATTAGTGGCTCGCTATCAAGCAACGAGACGTCGATGCTGCGACTGCAGTGCTAGAGGCAGCAGGGCCTGGAGGATGCTAGCTGCTATTGAGCTTGCTCTGGAGCTGCTGGACTCTGGCATCGATAGGTTGGCTGACGGCTGCGAGTATGTTGATGGTCTGATGACGTCCACTGCAAGTAAAGTAAAAGTGATTTTACCACAGTTTAGTAAGTAAGTGATTTTACAATAATTACATTTTATGTCATGCTAGTAGTTATGACTGATTCACAGAATTTGATAACTTTATTTTACCTCTCTAGGTGCGTACCGATATATTACTTATTGTTGTTTCATAAATAGTAGACATCACATAAAGTTACAGTGTGGCATGCGGAGCACAATAAATTGGGGCTCGTCCCTTTTTACGTAGGTAATAAAATAGTACCTATATTTTAGGAGTGTGAGAAGGAACTAGATTTTCATACAATAGATAGGTAGCTACACTGTCTCAATTTCCTACTGGCTTTTGTTTGTTTAGGCGCCGTCCCGCGATCTTCATTTATTCAACAGAAAAACAAAGCCCCCATAATATTTTTACGAACAAATGATAAAATCTGCCCGCGAGCTAAACGCATCTAAACTGCTGGAAACTCGGGCGGAATTCGCATCTCGATTATATTGGAAATTCATTTAATCGAAGTCTATGACTGAATAGTTATGACCCAGCAGGATCGCTCCTTGCACAAAAGCTGGAAGTGGCTGTCAGCCAAAAAATTAAATACTGAATGAGATTACAAGATAATCTCCTGGAAAAAGTAAGGTGCCTATTTTGAAGAACAAGACTCGTGCTCTATATTTGTTTTATTTAAATTTGATTAAAGTTTAACTTAATGCCGTATGGCATTCTTTTCCAGTCAATCTTTGGGCCAAGCAGAAAATTAGAGTTACAATAAACTATTATATCGTCAGGACGTCCGGGGATTTCTGAAAAAAATCTCGTGGCCGGTTAGGTCCCGGTATAAAAATTACCAATAGGTAAACGTAAGAAGTTGGTACACAAAACTATTCTTTGTTATTTACTAACCAATAACAGTGTCGTTTCTGACGTCAGCGAACTTATCCTCAATACTCCTGAACTCGGGGATGGTGCTGACGCAGGTGATCTCCAGCCGGCCGGTGGCCACCAGGTAGAGCTCCGACACGGTGACGTACAGGTCCCAGCCCCGACTCGGCCGTCGGCTGCGATGCCTGCTTGACGCGTGGATGACGTTGGGCTCCTCGTGATAGTGCAATTCTGACATCTAAAACATTTAAACAGATTGAAAGGTAACTAGTAATTTTAATAGGTAGGTAATTCCAAGTCATATCGTTTTTAAAAACATTTCATTCTAGGCCTGAATTTTAACAATAATTCGTAAATTCGCCTCGAAAATCGATTTTTAGAGCTTTGAAATCAATGAAAGTTTGTTAACTGAGTTCGCAAATAAGTGACGTCAGAAAATTTAATCACACAAAATGTATGTAGAGTCGCGTTACGCACGTAACTAGTGGTGTCAATTATCTTATTAGGTGCCAAATTATTACGGATTAATTAGCGCGGGTGGAATTGCATACGACACTTAATATGTTTGATGACAAGGATTAATAAATAGCAGAAAAGAGGAGTGAGAGATGTGGTAACGAGATAAACAACAATGCAATAAAACAACACGTTTTTCATGTTCGTTTTGCTCGCAGGGCGGTGCCTTTCACATGCGAACATAATGGGAAAATTTGCATAAAAGTAATTTCCTTAGCAAACAAAATAATAATGTGCTCTGCTATTAATTAAGTAGGTCGTTTTAAACAATTCATAACTTCACCACACCACATCGTTAATTAATTTGCAATCAGTTATATAGCGCTTATTGTATGGACTGTTTGTTTTATTGTTAATGTAGGTAATACCTATTATAAAGAAGCAAGCAAACTAAGTACCTACGTAACTTGTCGTTTACTATAGTAAACGGTCACCAACGTCTATTTGGCATTTACAGTAGCAGTAGAGTTGCTAAAGCGTTGTAAATTAAGTAGTATGTTGGTGATGGACTAGGTACTATTCTCTGAAACTTTGACTCTATATTTCATTATTCGGTTACTTTTACTTATGAGCGCTATCGTTAGATTATTTGTATGAAACCGATCTATGTTTGACTGGTTTTCCTAAAGACTACTTGAGTTTTATGTATTTAGTTCTTGAGTATTATGTGTGCGTGAGCGCCAGCAGTAAGTGTAGCAAGACTGTTGGCTCCAAACTTACACTAAACAAACATAGCACTTCAGCTTGCTTGTGGAGCTCTATATAATCTTTTCCCTCAATGAGCTACTGACCTGGTGTTCCTTAATATTACAGCCTGGAGGTCGAGTGGCGATGTGCGACGCGTGTGTGAGCGCAAGTAGCGGTGGAGGGCTGCTGCCTCCAAGCTCGTAGTTGATTAGTTTCTGGAGCCCTCTCCTGCCGTTGCGTTCGCTCATGGGCACTCTGAATTTATGTGAGTGGGCTGCTAGCTCGTCCATCTGGAATTAATAATGAAAAAGCTCTTGAGTTTCACGCGCTGCACCTCAGCTGGTTCACATGTTTGTCACTGAGTATTGGTAGAGTAAAAAAGTTCTTTCAAAAAGTTCTTTTTAAAGTCAACTAACACAAAGTAAATTCAAGTAATATCAAAGTACTTACGTAAATGACTTGGACCTTATGAAAAGACAATAATATAATTCATAAGTATAGACGCAATTCCATAAAGTTGCCTGTTATTGATTTAATTTAACGATCCCTTTATATGTATATGGTATATCAAATATAGTGTCCGTAAGCAACCTTGGCACAACAATCCGAGCGTTTTCATCAACAACATCTGCGTTTATGGGCAGATTCGTTTTGTTCGCGGATATAAAATGCGAGATTACCTTCTTGCCATTAATAAACCAGGTGATATGGGGCGCCGGGAGCGCAGGCGCGGTGGTGCAGTTCGCGCGGAGAGTCTCGCCGAAGCTCAGGTACCTTGTCGGGAAGTCGATGCGCGGGTGATGCTTTTGAGGATCTATAACAATTTATTCATGAGGGTATGTCACTGCTGATGAACAAATGGGCAATATTTTTCATTTTTGTACTGGGCCTTCAAAAATTGAAGGCTCTCATTATACTAATGAGGCTTTTTGGATTGACAAAGTTTTAGTCCATTATTTAATTCAGTAGGAATTATTGTATCTTCTTTATTTAAAGCTTGGCTATTCCTAACAATATGTTTGAACATCGTTAACAAACACAATGTAGCATAATATGTACTCGTAGTTAGATCAGATAAACGAATAGAGCTTTTAAAGTTTTATCCGCTTTCGGCAAGAAGTGGTCCAGCAAATATCCCGCCGAAGGATCCCAACGATAAATAAATCTTGTTACCGCTCGTTACAAATCGTTAACAGAATAGTAAAACTTTCTCAACTTCTAACTTGTTTAGGGTCTGCTATTCTTCCTTGAACTCCACTGGGTACTATGAGAGTTTAGATTGTCGTTTCGTGTGATGTTATCGTTATACGTATGGTATCGTTTAGGTAGAGTCATTTATACAAGCAGAAATCACTGCAATTAATTTAAATTGATCTGTCATCCTATTCCGATATCGCTTGCTTACATCATTGAAATAAAATATTTATTATAGGATCACAGAAGTTCTTCGGATCATAATAAATTATTTATGAGTTCTTTGTCATTCATTAGCGAATTTCCGGAAACAATCTCCCTTTCCATTCGCGTCGCCCATTGACTTCCTGTCCTCGGTTGCCCAAATTGTGGCTAAATTTCGTTGCATAAACATGACAGAATATATTAAATATTAATAATGTTGTCATTTTTAAGTAAGTAGATGTATTTATCTTGTAATCTGGATCTGTTTGATTCTGAACAGGGCTATTGGCTAAACTTTTTTTTACCAATTTGTGGGATTAGTGCCTTGTAGCAGGTGTTAGCCTGAGGGATTAATACCAAGTTCAATATCGCCGTAATTCAATATTATTTAGATATTGTTATCGTCCAAAAATAGATTTAGCTTCAATAAGAAGAAGGCAAAATATTGTGGAAATAATAAAATCAAGATATTTTGTTACAGTATTTTCTCATTAATATTTAATGCTCACGTGCCAAGCATGGGGCATGATGTTGGTATGAGTCGCTGTAGATGAGTTGAAGTAGTTTGGAAACCTTAAGAAGTGTGGAAAGTATCCTATTTTTGAGTAAGTAAATCATACTTTATTTTTGGATTTTTTCTCATTTGCGTTTCTATTTCTTCTTGGTAATATTAACTATAAGCTTAAAAGACTCATGGGCATTAATTGAAAGCACTATTTAATTTTTATTCTAAGAAGTATAAAGCTCTTAAGAAGTAGCAAGGTCAAAGTGATTACCTGAATAAAATTGGACCTAACTGAAGGACGCTCTCGTTATTTTAATTTAAAAACTAAATTGGTTAAAAGATCTAAAATAAAACTTAGAACAGAAACGTGCTGTGTTAAATTTAGCGTGCTTAGTAACAAATTAGATTATACATAGGATGCACTGGCAGATACATTACAGAAATAAATAACGAAGAGTATTTTAGAGATTTATTAAATTAGGGGCTATCTTCTAATTCAGAGGTAAAAAATAAAATACAAGTAATCGTGTAATAATACCCTAAAAACAACTTTTGAAGCTTTTCAAAAAGGAATTCGTCGTTTTTGTCCCATTGGGATTTGTTAAAAGTATTTCCACTGTTGAGAAAGGTATGATTATTGTCTAATCGGTTTTATCTAAAAATACTTTGTTTTGTCATTATCAAAAACAATAACTGAAGTGGGTTATGAAAAAAATACCAGAAATGAAAGTTTTAAGGGTTTTAAATACCAGTATGTCGAGTGAATTTGTATGTTATGGTAAGTATTCAAGGGAATCAAAAAAGTAATTTGGTGTATTTATTTTATATTACCTTAAAAACAAACCATTAATAACACGAGAGTGATATACCTAATGGATAACGTAAAAAGATTTGTTCACTTTGGTCGTGACTAGAAAGAAAATTTCATAAAGTCTTTTGTCATAATATGCTTCACTATATTGTTTATGAATGAATCAAAATTACATATGCCTTTGAATCCAGTCCATGAAGCTAGTCACTCTTGCAAACACTGACGGGAACCCTAATTCACAACCGTACCGAGCTACAAACGAACTAACTCCAACTAGAATCTTCTCTCCATGGTATGTGACCGTCAGCGGACCACCGGAGTCTCCTCGACAGATGCCGACGCCGCCATAGCCATTGGTACAAATATTTGAGTCCAAAACGGCATTTCCAAATACTCCCCTGCATTGGTCTAATGAGATTACTTGAAGCGACACAAATCTGGCCATCGTGTTGGTCGTGGGGCTGACAGCGTCCGAATATCTTCCATACCCAGATGCGACTGACCATGCTCCCGTTAAGTCGTGGTTGAGAAGAGCTCCGTGAGGCAAACGGATGGGCTGAATGCTGCTGCTTAGCGGCACGTTACCGGGTAAGTACAGTACTGCGATGTCGTTCGCTAGCGTGCGCTTATCGTAGTTAGGATGCACTGCTATACCGTGGGGGAATAGTCTTAATCCTCCGTGGAAGAGGAACGGTGAGCCGAGGACAGCGGTGAAGCGCCAGGCCTGGAACCTTCCATCGTTCCAGCAGTGAGCTGCTGTTAATATTCTACTGGCTGAGATAAGTGATCCTCCGCAAGCGGACTGCGAAGGCATTCCAATTACGTCTATAAGAATTCCGACCAAATAAGGGTGAGCGGCAACTGGAGCTATGACGCCTCCAACGATTGGACCCAATGCCATGATTTGGTCTTCATATCTCTTTCTGCTTGCAGCGTCCTTAATTCCGATAGATTGATGATAACCTTCTTGGTAATGGGCATTTGACCCATCTTCGCTAGCACTGCATGCTACGACAAACAGTAAAGATAAAATCCAAATCACACGCATGTTTCAAGTATCAAAGAAAACTCACTGGAGAACATCGCGGTATCATTCTTTTATAGGTAGATTTCCCGAAGCTTATCGCTTATTAATGACGTTTGATCCAGTGCTTAATATATTTAATCCTTTAACGTTTATTTCGGTTTCACAGGTGTAGGTAATGCCGCCGTATACTCTTTACCGGCACGATTAGGTACCTACATCATTTATAAATATCACACAACGAAAATACCCGCTGCTAAAGAAATAAACTAAGTAGGTACATTTCACCCACTTTTATCCCAAAAAAAAAAACAGAATTTGACTAAGTACTCACCTTCCATGAGCTACAGTTAATTCGTCAAATTACTTAGGTGTTATTAATTATTACAGGTATTTTTAGTCTTAAGGCGGATTAAAAAATAAGATTATGGTTCGATGTAGAGCCGACTTACCTGTAATGACTTTCCCTACCGTACCAAATTAGGACTTAAGTACATGAAAAACGAGGTTACTTAGATTAAAATTGTTGCCTGTTGGTAAAAGATTAGTGCCTTTAGGCTGTGCCTATAGGTTCAGGTCAGAGAGCTGTAGAAAAGAAAAAACGGTACGCTTACTTATTACACCTACTTGGTAATACGTCTATGCATTTATTTTCTATCAGCAGTTCAGCACACATTCATTACTTTATTGATTACATAAACCTTATTTATGATGTTGGTGATAAATATAGCATTCATTTATGGCCAAAGTACATTGATTTTTACATTAGAATTATAAACCGCTCTAGGGGAAATAGAGGTGGGTTATAAGTAATTAATATACTTATATGTATGTATAAATAAGCATATTACATTGAAAAGTGTCGCGTACAGATAACGACTCGTATTATCACTTAATTATCTACTCTTTGCAATCCGTCTGTAATAAGTTTAGTATTTTTATTGGTTGTATGGCCAACTGATATACCGGGTGTCCCAAAATTTACACGTCACAGTGTAGGTGTATGTACTGACATTCTTTAGATATTTTTAAAATAACTTGAAAAAATCGAATTGCCTAAGGTGGGAATCGAACCACGAGTGGCGACTCCTAAGTCTTAACGCCAGAAAAATTTTAATAACATTCTTTAGATGACAAATAAAATTAAAAATCCGGTAATTAAAATGTACCTAACCTAATAGATTTGACCTGATGGCTCCAATCTAGGTATACTAATTTATTTGAATTTTAATTGGAATCGTGTCTTTTAGAGAAAGCCGGGAAGTTCTCGTGAAAATTCGTTAGTTACCTAAAAATATTTTCTTCGTGGAATAAAATAGACTTTGATTGTCTAATAATGTTCTTAGTAACATAATATTTACTGTTTTTGTGTCATTCGTTCGACGTTTTTGGTGGTTATTACTGAAAGTTTTCTCCTCTCCGTCATATATTTAAGAAATGTCAATAAAAGTTTCAGTGCTAATCATTTTATTCTATTTTTATCCGATATCTTAGTAAAAACCAACCATTTTTGGGAAAATTCAGTTTGTAGGTGTTTTATTTTGTTTACAAAAAGATAATTAATCTACGTTCATTAATCCCGTTATTTCTTTACTGATTAGTCCACTCAGCGTTGATTAAAATTGTAAACCCGATCATAAATTAGAATTACCTACAGTAAGCACGACCATTGTTCTTCCTAATTGTAGACATTCTTAATTATAATTAATTATTCTTATCGATAGACGAGAAATGTTTGGGAAACCCAAAAATATTGGAAAGATCTAGACTTATTATGATAAAATACTGAATTAGTTTTGTGTTATTATCATAACTAAAATAACTGATAGTCTTGTAATGAAATATACTAAATGTAAATATGTTTATAGATTGATTTATTGCCCTATGAAGAGTACAGAAATAGTTAGTACCTTATAATAAAACATAAGGTTTTTCTTTTTCCTTATTACTTTTGTGTGGCATTAAAAAATATAGCCTTAGGTACCTAATAATTCTGAATTAATACTGTTCGATTGTTAGATTAGATACATACTTACCTGCCCTAAGCCCTAGAGGTTAACCACATACGAGTGCATGCATTAGCAAGGCAGTGTCTTGTGTTTTGTTTAAGCAAATCAGTAGTTTGAGTAAGTACCTTACATGTGCATTGACTACCTTGAAATAAAATGTACGCCCACCTCTGCCCTAAATACTAATGAAAGACAAATTAAAAGATACTTGAAACAATTAGATAAAGCGTTGAAAGACACGTTTGTCTACAGTTTGGATAGTGAATAGATAAGATTTTATGACTCAGACACATTATTATATCAAACTACTTAGCTCCGTTTTTGTATATCCGGGTATAATTTTTAGCAAGAGGGCTGACTAAATCCCAAAAATTAAAATGACCATTTGGGGTTCACTGTACCAGTTTTTTTTTAAATGATGATGAAATTCTATCATTCACTTAGAAACATTTTCCATACATATGTGAGTTTCATCCCCTATAATTTTGAAAAGTAATAGTGAGTTAGTTATAAAAATAAATAATGTTTAAGAGAATGTCGCTCTAAGTTTGACGTGGATTATGTTGGTTCATTATCAGGCTTAGGAGTTGACTGATAGACAGCAGCTATTCTAACGGCTTTGATATGATATCAATACAATAACATAGTCATACACGAGGAATACTTAAACTTGGAAACTTAGGCTTGATCACCACTTTCCAGCAGGTGAAACATAGGCCAAGAGCTTCCCCGTGGTGGATAAAAGATCTTGCAGAAAATTCGAATTCTCATCCAACAAGTGAATGCCAGTAATACACGTATTTCAGTTCAAGGCAACTACTTATTTTTCAGTAGGTTTAGGTAAAATTATGTAAAAGGTAAACTAAAATAACCCCTAAAATACGCTTTTAAAGTAAAGGCAAGTAAAACTTTTATGTTCGCTTGTACACAACTTAACAGAACTGGGTGTATATTTTAAGTTAACTTGACTCCGGAGTGGCGTAACTGCGGCAGATAGCTAGCTAAATATGCGTAATATTCGCGTCTTATCTCATTTGCATGGTGAATTAACGGATATTACAACTAACTAGCTTAGATAATACCGCATTATCTTTTGCTGGAAGGTAGAGTCGGTGGGGCTTTTATGCTTTGTGCGAAGATTTCAATAATTTTCTACCTGGTTAAATAAACATCTTTCATACTGTTCAAAACGAGAAAGTTAAAAAAAAACCTATAATCTAAAACGTGGCGTACTGTCTTCCACAAATTTGCAGTGGCGTCCGATTGAAGGTTGATTTCTGGATTTTTTTTTCATTCGTTTAAGCCTTCCTTCAGTTTCTTGGTCGCGGGTGTCTAAAGTCGTATAGTAAGTAGTTTTAGTTGACCTAAAAAAAATTAAAAAAAAAATTAACTTGTAAAATAAATAAAAAACTTATGCAGCACATTTTCATCGAGATCCCGGAAAAAAACAGCGTAATGAATAGACAAGTCTGGAGTTGTCAGACCTCTTTTATTAAAAGAGTTTTTTAATTGAAAAACCCGAAAAAAAATATTTGAACACTTTCAATAAACTCGTGGCTTGAGTAAAAAGAAAAAGAAAAAACAACTTTGATAATTTATTTGCAATCACGAAATTAATCGCCTTAAATAGGGTCGGAATTTTTAAACGATTGCTTTCCCAAGTTTCGCGCCATAATGGCGGATGATTTACAGCTATTTTTCTGCGAAACCGAGGAAGCGGCGTTTCTTTTGTGTGGCGTTGTACAGTCGCCAGCACGTCAGACTAAACATTCTGTTGGAAAGTCGCTTTTATTACAGTTACATAAGGTGTATAACTCGATGTGCCGTTTGTACGTAACGTTACGGGCATATCATTAATCATTTCATTGAATACGTCGGCGAGGTGAGAATAACAACCGTACACGTAATTATTTAACACCCAGTGAATTAACTGTTGCAATACACAAAGGGCTCGTTAATAGAGTCAGAACGATAAAGAATCCTTGAACATAAATTAATTTGTCTTTTGTGATAAAATAAGGTGTTAGGTAGATTTATCAAATTACTATTAATGGTATTGACGTGTTTCAATATAGGTACTTGGGTCATATAACTAGCACACATTTGCCGAAAATGTTTGGTTTCAAAATCATTTTGATTTTCATTATTTACAGATGTGTTTTTTTTTATTTACACAACTAGTGGAGAGCGTTCGTTACAGCGCTTTGTTGTGACTTTGTTCTCAAATTTTGCCATGTTTGTCCAAAAAATAATAAGCCCTGGAAAGAGCCTCTATAGGTCTAATTTATTACGTAACGTTCATAAAGTATTGAATTGAATAAATATAGTGAAATGTAGCTTTATCCAGCTAGCCTAACAACATAGCCCCCTTTGAGACATGTTAAAAGTCTATTTCATTGTTTTGTCGTTTCGGCATATTCTGTTCTATTGTGATTGTAAAAGCGCCAATGTAATTACAAGGCGGGGGTCCAGTTATTACAGAGTTCCTGTTTCGCTGCACCAGTGATGGTGAGCCGGCCCGTCGAACAAATAAAGCATGTTTTTGCTGAACGAGTGTAAACTATGTGGGCTGTTATTAATGTTTTCCAGCAAGTTGCGTAGCATGTCGGGATGTAGAAGGCGCAAACTCCGCGCACGAAAACGAATACTTCTCAATAAAAACGGGACCACAATATTTGTTGCTCCGACCCGGGACTTGATAAATGATCCGGGAGCAGAAATAAACCTCGCAACATTTCCTACGAAAGAGGGAACCATTCCATGCGACTGTTGCTTGGCAAATATTTTATTTCGTGCTCCACGTAGTATCTGTTACAGCCCTGGAAAGTGTAACCGGAACTTACACAAATTGGCAACCACTTCACATGATAAGTTTAACAGTTGTGTGACACATGTTGTGTGAATGGAAATCAATACAGGCTGATTTACATGTATAAGTTAAAGGTAACTAAATTTTAACTTAATTTTAAGTGATTATTTGCATGTAAACACATGTTACCAAATTGTGTGTTTACATGTAATTAATCATTTAAAATTAGGTTAAATTTTAGTTGCATACTTACTTAACAACTTAATACGTGTAAATCAGCCTTACTAGCAGAGGTAATACCTACTCGTACTAATAACTTATCACCTGAACTAGAATTCGGGCTTGCGTTTTATTTCTAACTCGTCTGATATTTTCTATCAAAAAGCAAGCATTAGATCCACATTTCTATAATATGTGTAACAGAACTCATTTTGATCGGTAGGCGGGTTTGCTACGGAACCGCAAATTCAGGCGCTTCAGCTTCAGTTTACGTATTCCAGTCAGAGTTGGGCTAAATTTTCTCTATTCAACAAAAACGAATTGAAAACCTAATGAGTGTACTATTTTTGATTTGAAATAAACTCTCTTTCATTTTGCTGTCTCTGGATTTGGAATGGCGAGTTTACAGGAATGGGAATATACTTTTTAATCAGCGCTTGAATTTTAATTGATGCCAGCTTGTGTTTGAAATTGTTGCAGATTTAGTTTATTTTCATTGATATCTAGAATTTAAGTTAATTGTGTCAAATAGCTGTCACAATGAAAAACAATTTTAACACCCACCTGTGGGTCTAGACAAAGTGCAAATTATAATCGCAAACCAGTCGAAAAGTGGTCGAAAAGCCCCTTTTTTGTATGGAGTTTTGACGGATTCGATTAAAAAGTGCGTTTTGTCTAGGGGGGCTGCTGTGTAAGCGACTGTCGCCCAGTGTGCGCTGTCGCTAAGTTTTAAAAGCATGACTAGGCAGGTATGTATGTGCAAGAGATATATGTAGTAACTATAATGAATACTTAAGTATAGTGCTCGTAATGTGGCTTGTAATACAAGCTGCCATATTTCCTGTTACAACGCTTATTACTAAATAATAGTTATAAATTATAAAACCTAACAAGAGTCCCGAAAACTGTCGAGCAAAATATACTAAAAGAACCATAACATGTTTTATGTGACATGTTCACAGACTAATTACAGCAATAGAGTCCTCACTCCCTGAATTTTACCCGAGTTTGCAAGATGGGAAAGCTTTGGGTAGTAATGAGTTTGCTCGCATAATTACGCAATTCATGTTAATACGTGTTAAGCCGCTTATCTCTTTTTTCCACGAGTTACGACGTGATTGCGCCCCTTGGGACGGGACTAATTGTGGAAATGTGGCCGTAACGGGCCGTCTATACGACTTATTTGTCTGTGGACACGATAAACGTAGGAGGAACGTGAACAGAACTGGGAAAAAACATAAATAGTTATTTATGGTGACGGCGGGAAATCCAGTAATAGAAAACGAATAGGGTCCGCACTTACATAAATCTAGAAATGCTGGGCGACTTTTTGCCGACTTATTTATTGTTGTGAGTATTTATTTTATTGGAAATAATATATTTCGATAAATATAGTGTCAATATTAAGGAAAGTGTCTTATCTCCCTTTTGGGTGAGAGACGTTCATGATACGCTACTTAGTGGTTGTCGCAAGGAGCTACTAAAGGTGGCCTACATACTGAGAGCCTTCTGTATGATAAGCTTTTCATAAAAGAAGACCTATCAAGGATGACGGTGAATGCGATCAGGGACTTTTTGATGTCTATATTTATTAACTTATTTATGTAAATTAGATGAGTTATGTTCTGGTTGTGCTCAACTAAGCACAAACGTCAAGTTTATCGCTTTGATCGAATTATCACTTCAGAATAAATAAGCAAAGTTGACTCACGGAAAACTGTGAGTTGTTTCCCGGTGGACGCCTTGGTGTAGATGGGCGTGTTCAGGGAGACCTCGCAGGAGTAGCTGCCGCTCGCCGCGAAGTCCAGGTTCTGCAGGATGATGGAGTTCTCCGTGGCTAAAGATATCTGCAAACAAAGTTCATCATCATCATCATCAGGTTACGTACGGGACTATTCCCACCTCTCGTTCCCACCACTGCAACTCCTGTGTAGCCAGGATATACAGCTTGACCGCCTTAAAAACCCAACCAATGAAGGTCAAGTTTGTTTCATCATCAGGTTATTTAGTCACTATTGCACCAGGAGCACGAGCCTCTCTAATTTACCACAGGTAAATGGAGGTTTAGCCTACACGCTGATTTGATCAAACTGAAAGTCAATTTCTATTGGACATACTTGTACGAATATTTGGTATTCTATTTCGGCACTCGTAAATATTTGCACAAAATTTTAGCCAACCAATTACTCGCAGCCCTACTTGCAAATATATTGAATTAATTGTATTTGTATAAAACATCAGACAGAATCAAACAATTTACTGAAATAGCAATAACCTCAATTCATGGAGTTTTCGGCTATTACTTGCGAGGTTAGTAACTTAACTAAACCTTACATTTCTAGTAACTTTATCCTGCAGTAGAAGTAGAAGTCTAAGTGTGTACTTAAGCCGAGTACCGACTTACCCACCCATCTTGGGTTCCACATCTACTGGAACTTCTACTAATATCATTACGTATTATAAAACAAAATCCTCCGCCGCGTCTGTCTGTTTGCGATAAAGTCAAAAACTACTGAAAAGATTATCACGCGGTTTTCAGCAATAGATAGAGTGATTCATTATAGAGGTTTGTAACTTTGTTAACGTGAAAAATAATGAGATAGCTTTTATTCGGTTTTTGAAAGTTGTGCGTGCAATAGACTTTCTTTGACAGAGATATTTACGCGAGCGAAGCCGTCAGCAAAAGCTAGTTTCAACATAGAATAACATACATAGTGTATAGACTGTTTTATTAAAGAGGTAAAAAACAGAAGTAGACTAGAATTTCATCATGTTTGGTTTCGTTTGGCCTGAAATTGGGACTTTACACTGGATATTGCGTGTGCGATAGTTAATTAGTGACGTAACTCGAGTAGAAAATAGCGCTAAAAGCGTTCAGCCTCCACGCAAGCTGAGCCACTTCCGATTATTTAATGGCGGCATAAGTGACTGGCTGCTAATTAGTTGCACTAGTTCAGCGGTGCTCAATCTTTGGGTGGGCTTTGGAAGCTTCAAGCTTTAAGCTCAAGTTTCTACCCTTGAGATTATTGAAAAGTTTTGCCACTAATCTGATTGCTACATGTTAAAAGAGTTCTTGACATAACGAATTTGATTCTAAATATGTATCTAATGTCGAATGTATTCGAGTAAGTAAGTATTCCATATTTTTTTAGGATGGTTATATAGTAGTTCATGATCTAAGCCATGAATAAATGTTTTCTGCTATCAAAATAAGTTCGCTTCATAATAATTCATAATAATATACATACATATTTGTTCATTTTACTCTATGAATAAGACAAACAATACATTTATTGACCCGGATCTCGCGTTTACATTTTATTAACATGGCCTGAATATTTGTTGTTACGATACCCAGGTATTTAACTAGTTAAATGCGGGTTGAATAGCAGTGTCACGGCCACGATCGGATTCCCAAATAAGTATTACACTCCCATTCCCAACTACTACTTTGCCTGGCCCATTCCCATTTTATTTGGGGTCGGCCCTCCGCGTCATGCGTCTCCAGGCGACTCACACTCCCATTCCCAACAGGTTCTCGAAATGACCTGGAAGTGGGGTCGATCTGTTACACCCTGTGAGCTAAACGAGTCGTGCTCATGCAACCACTACCGTACTGCAAGCCAAAGGAAATGTAGGGGACATGTTAATTAGTTCCTAATCCATTTTGTATATTTGCAAGTCATTCGTAGAGTTGCAGTCTGCGATCGAATTCCCCCATATATCCTGCTGCCACTCCCCAAAGTCACTTCAAACAGTTTGAGAGCCACTGATCGAGGTAGTTCATTAAGTACTACACTCCCATTCCCAACAGGTCCCCGAAATGACCTGGAAGTGGGGTCGACCTGTTACACCCTGTGAGCTAAACGAGCCATGCTCGCTCATGCAACCACTACCGTACTGCAAGCCAAAGGAAATGTAGGGGACATGTTAATTAGTTCCTAATCGATTTTGTATATTTGCAAGTCATCCGTAGAGTTACAGTCTGCGATCGAATTCCCCCATAATAATATACCCCGCTGCCACTCCCCAAAGTCACTTCAAACAGTTTGAGAACCACTGATCGAGGTAGTTCATTAAGTACTACACTCCCATTCCCAACAGGTCCCCGAAATGACCTGGAAGTGGGGTCGACCTGTTACACCCTGTGAGCTAAACGAGCCGGGCTCATGCAACCACTACCGTACTGCAAGCCATAGGAAATGTTGGGGACATGTTAATTAGTTCTTAATCGACTTTGATTTTTGTTTTTGTGAGGTTATTGTTGGATTTAGAGCGGTATACCTACATTAAGTTATGAAGTGCGCGCTACAAAAGCACACTATGGTGTTAAAGTTAGAGTCAAATAGTTCGTGACACCCAAAATAGCCAAAAAATTCGCAACACATATTTGTTGCAATTTGAACATCCTGTATTGTCAACTTTTGGTCACTTTGGATGTTACTAACTATTAGACGCTGACTGTACGTAGGTATGTAAGTACCTTCGCTAGCAACACGCGCTGAACACTCACAAAGCCTAATGTGTTACCGAAACCTTAGACTAATTTTCTTTTATGTAGTAAGCTCGGGTTTGGGAATACTAGTCCAAGAACTATTGCATAATAATTGTAGTCTCAATTTCATGGAAGCCTAATAACGTCGTATCGGACGACATTTTCCCCAATCATCATTAGGGCCTTTTTCTTTTATTTCATGATTGATTCTAAATAAGATCTCTACATTTATTTAGTTCGAAACTTAAGTGAGTACCTACTTACAAAATAACTTGGCAGAGTAACTAGGTAATTAGTAGTTTATATTACTTTATATGAATAACTTCATTTAATCGAAAAAATGGCTTCTAATGAATTAAAATAGGTGCGTGAAGAAGAACGGGTTAGAAGCCCGGTTTATCGAATGGGTTGTCATGTCTGGTGCATTATTATCACTTTTAACAATAGATTGACCTGGAAGCGAGGTCGACCTGTTACGCCCCTGCTGCAAACGAGCTGGGCACATGCAACCAGACCGGGTACAGTCGGGCATATAAACGTTTAGCCATTTTACGCTGTTAAATTGGACTAATCATTATGGAAGTAAGTGGAATTATAGAGCCGATACACATATTCAGTGTATAACGATCACGAATATCTTTGTTTGCTTTGTACCTATATTAATGCTCATGTTTCATTCGTCTTCAGAATTATAGAGACCTTATTACATAATGTTCAAGAAGTAAATTATATTTCCAAGTCCGACTGTACATACACAGGCAGCTAGTCTAGGCACGCCGAATTAATTCAAGTGCGCTTTTGCATTACTAACCACTTACATGTATGAATTCTTGGTTGTTGTTACGAGTAGCTACGAAGTTTTATTACGCCAAGAAAACGTTCTGACAGTTAGCAGTTCGTTACCTCGCCTTGATATTATCATATTATTCAGTAGGATATGTGGCAGTGTCATTTGTGAGGATAACATCTCCAGGTGGACGTAATTTAGATAGGGACGAGTGAGAGATGCTCTTTAGCACTATAAGTTAGGGTCTTACTTAGTTGTAATGTAGGGGACATTACTAAAACTGTAAATTATAATGTAATGTAATGCATCTCACTTAACACCAGGCGCGATTGCGGTCAAATACCTGCCTTGGCTAGCATAAAAAAAAAAAAATTTGTTCTCTGACGTAGTCTACATTTAAGGATGACACATGAAAAACTTTATTATGGCCTAACTTTTAAATCAAAAGTAATTTGATATTTATAGTCGGTGAGTAAGTATGAGATTTTTTATCGCCGTATAGCTTGTAGATTTTTTTTTAATTTGCGCTTTGGTAGAGCCGCAAAAAAAAAGAAGATTTAAAGTATGTAAAGAATTTCGTTTAACTTGTACCCAGACAAGACTCATTATGATTTATTATTACATTTTCTAAAACTTAACAATAAAATTATGTGACAAAGGAAAATGCAATTGTTTGTCTCTCTCCCCTTATTTTCAGTCTCGGTCAATTCTACTACAACAGCTTCGTTACGAGACGCGGCGATTGCGCCGCCGGCGTGTAAACTTTCCAACACTTCCCTTTGCCTGGTTTCCAATTTCGTCGACTATATCCCATAGGGTATTTGTTGCATTAGTAATACAGAAAAAGCAATCAGTCTAAAAAGCTGGCATTTCGTTGAAATGCTGGCAGAAAGCATTTAATTCATTAAGACCTATACAATTAGACAGCGCGCGGGCGCCTACGGAAACTTTCCTGTAGGGCAGCCATAATTCACAACTTCACAGAGGAAAAATTAAATATTCAGTTTATTGCAGTAAAACTTGCAGATTGCACGTCCGATTCTGTAATACTTGCACAGTTATTCTAAGAGTTAGGAGAAAAGCTTGTGAGTGTTATTTTACATCAGTATTTTTTTACAGTGGCGTTGTAGAGTTCACAATCAATTTATTTATTTATTTAATAGGACAACCGATAAGACACACCAGAGGACAATCAATAAATCAAGAAAAACTTTTAGAAGTTATTAGGTACATAACATATTAGGTATTTATTGAGATTGCTAAAGAGTTCTTGAATCAGTTTGTTTCAGAAAGATGTCATACATCTTCATATGATATTTAAAAATAGCGTTGCTTACTGCATTGGTCTATAAAAGAAATACAAATACAGTTTAACGTGATTTTTCTTTAAAGTCATATGTATCTACCTATTTAATGTTTCTAGAGCTTTCAATGATTTAACTACAATCCATGCTTGGTTAGGTAGCTAACCACAGAAATTAACACAAGTGTAAGTTCAAGGAGCAGTGACGCAACTCAACGGTCTGCAACATTTCAGAGCGATTTAGGCGCTTTAGAACTTCACGGTCACTTGGGCTCTTAATATATACCGGAGCCTAAAACTGGATTTAAATTCAAGGCATAATAGTCTATAAACCATTGGTTGAATTTCGATATTTATTTACACCCTTGCATCACACCATTTACAGCCAGAATGTTGAATGACATAACAATTAATAGTCTCGATTGATTATTTGTCAAATCTTTCAGAATTTCTTCTCAGATCACCAATCCTAAAGAGAACAGCCCCCCTAGACAAAACGCACTTTTTGATCGAATCGAAAATCGAATCCGTCAAAACTCCATACAAAAAAGGGGCTTTTCAACCACTTTTCGACTGGTTTGCGATTATAATTTGCACTTTGTCTAGACCCACAGGTTGAAAGATTTTTCCACTTATTTTTTTCTTGTTCCAAACGCTTACAAATGTTGAATCAAGAAAACTCCACGCAATGGTAATTTTGTGGCCGCCACAGCTTGAGGACACCCGACTCGAATTTAATTCACAATCTGGCAGGATATTGCAACTGATCCTAAATGTTCTGTCTGTACGGTAGGTATTATTTTAACAAATTCATTTTTAAAGCTGAATATATTTTGAACCTTAACAAAAATTTTAAGAAAAATACTTCGAAGATTTTGTTATCATTTGGATTTAAATTATACTTATCTCTGAATTTAATAACTTTGTGCTTACTGAAAACGTGAACTGAAATGAATAAGAAACTCGATTAGCATCGTGCTGGCAGGTAGAGCTATGCCACGTGCATCCTACAAGTCACCTCGATCGGAAATTCCTCGATTTGGCACATCACTACGAATCAG